AAAAGAGGGGATTCCGCCAGTAGCACGAATAATGGATTTCCTTATTCCAGGGTGAATATCGGTCGAGGAAATCCTCGACAGGGGGTCGTATTTGTCAGGGTGGGTCATGGGGGGTCGTACTCGTGGGGGTCAGTAACGTCAGTGGGCATCGTGGTGCAGATAGGAGGGATAGGGTGTAGCGCAGCAGAAAACAAGGATATGAGAAAAATGATATAAAATATTCTTTGCAGGTTCAGTCGCTCCGTCCCTCTACCTTCGAGAAGGAAGTATTTGAAAGTATACAAAGAATGAAAGTGCATCTTTGCAAGGAACATGTGCACACGCGCTGCAAAGGCATTTCCTCTATCTACCGCCCGCTCCCTCTCCCTTAATACCTCGTTGAGAATGACACTGTTGTTAGGGACGCTGTCGCAAAAACGACAACCGTGAAGGAAAGGCCCTGGGCAAATGAAGTTGTTCTTAGGTTATAGGAGTTACGAAATGTGTTTACTACAATGCAGCTTCTGTCAACTGGTCATGATCATATAACACCTTCCAATCGATTCTGCAACTTCGAGTGCATGGCCTATACCCAGACAAAATCGGATGATGACGATTGCCCCTTTTGCTTATGTTGGAAGAATGTATTCTAGACACATTTCGAGCGTTGCCAACGAATTACACTTGCAATGGTGAAGAAGGGAGCGGCTTTTGAGCGGCCGAGAATCATCCTCGATAGATCCTCGACGCAAATATCTCCTCAACTAGAAATGTAGAAGGAAGTTAAACAACCTTCCGCTTTCCAAAACTGTCTTCGTTTTTCAAGATCTTGCAAATTAGAGAGATATTGCCTTTTAAGTGGCAAAAACTCGCATGAAAAATTCAGCATCCTCGACGCTGCCTCGACAAAATTTGAGAGACCCTATCTCTTCGAGTGTAAAGCTTTTAGATCAATTTCAATATTGCCCGGTAGTAGCAAATCCAGCTCTATCTAACCCTACCACATACTGCTCCAAAGGTTATGAAATGGGGAATGGAACCTTTTCATCGAGAGTGTAGATTTCGACGGTTTCGAGCGGGGTTTCGGCAAATCTGACCCACGGATAAACCGCGCTGCAACTGAATGCTTTGCTGTACATTGATGGAACTCGCTTATTCACATCAAATCAAAGTTAGAGGGGTCGTATCAAGGTGCTAACTTAGTTGGGGGGGGGGGCACGCGGCGGCGCGGCAGTCTGCTCACCTGGGCTCTCTCGAGCGAGACAGTGTAAACTCGAACATTCCAGCTTTTCACGCATGTCAAGTGACTGCCCCCCCCCACCCCCTAGACTGGCTACACTCCCCCTGGCCCACGGATTTCCGAACATGCCAGGCGAGCAGACTGCCGCGCCGCCGCGTGGCCCCCCCCCAACTAAGTTAGCACCCGTATCAAGACACAATGTGAGAGGTGGGTCGTCCTGAAGTGACCACTTCCTCGACACGATTTCCACCCTGCTTGTTTTCCCGTTATTTTAGTCAATGTATGAGCGACGGCCAAGATAGAGGTTTGGATGTGTTGGTCCTAATGGCCGGCATCACTCCGTAAAATTCATATCACGCTTTGATTGATAACGCATAACACAGCTACAAAATTAGAAGTAACGGTGGCCACCTGAAGTTAATATCGCAGTCCAATTAAAAGCTAACCACGCGTCTACCAGTCACACAGCTTCCGCCTCACCGAACTAGCTCAGTGTCGGGGGGTGGCCTTGTTTGAGGGCCCATCAGATTAAGCTTAATGCGGGGGTACCCCCCCCCCCACCCCAGGAGTGCCGTCGCGCGGCAAGAAGGTAGAGTCGCGGACGAGTCGCGCAGCGCGTACGATGGAACATTCTATTTAGCTTGACGTGAAATCCCCACAGTACGCGCGCAACTCGTCCGCTGACTCGCCTTCTTGCCGCACGACGGGCCTCCTGGGGGTACCCCGGTTCAAGTGACGCAAATACTTTCCCGGTGTGCAGCCGCTTTATCGTAATCACTTCCTTCAACCATGTTTTTCAATGAAAATGAATGAAAAAATGAAAAAAAACTTCAAAAAACTTCGATGAAAAACTCGCCTATACGACAAATACGCACCGGTTATTATGTCTCGAGGCCACCACACTGCGCGCCCGTCTCTCCAGCCTGACCACACGCTTGCACCGCAACGGTGTACTGCGCATTAATTTGGACCGCATGGATTACGGTAGACCCGGCGCCGCGCTGAATTACCTTCTTGTTTCTCCTTAGCTCATTTAAAACTTTACCTCAAATTAATTGTCTCGCCCTAATTTTACCCCTATTGGTCTTATGCCCCGGCTCCCGGATTCATCGATTTATACCGAATGTTATCACTGTTCGTTGAAAAGACGCGGACAATACACTCCGCTATTGACTCCCCGTCTCGAACCACCTCTCCGCCCAATTCTTTTGAGCACATCCTACTATGTGTGGGATCCAGGACGCTTTTCACAGCCTGCGGAATTGAACGCTGATCACCGCAGTTTTGACCGTCAAAACGATCGAACACGACCGTCGACTCTCTCGACAGCCGCTGAAATGGAAGCGGTAATGGGAACGATCTCGGCAGTTACAGCTCGGCCTTAAATTACGCTCTCTTCAAATCTTGGATCATTCTTAACCAAAGTAGGAATCTTCAGTTTGGGGGCCATGTGCACAAACGGTTGGTCTTGCCAAGTAATGATCTCACGGAAAAGTGCACGGCAGGGAGCACTGGCGTTCTGTTGATCCATTTTGGAAAGTGTTTGTATTATTATGTTTTGTGGTTTGTGTTAATATGTTACTGTTTCAGTGTTTTACTTACTGTGTTGACACGGAATGCACTCCTTTGTGGTTGCACTTTTGCTGCTGTCGGTCACTAACTCAACACACGGCTTGAATATCCTAGGTGTGTGGACATTCTGCACAAATGAGATCGTTTCCAGTTGCGCTTATTTTCATGTTTTCAGTCTGGACAAGCACAATTGGTCTGAGTCATACTAACTTTCTCGGCAGCATTGCTGACACACTGAAGGAGGACGGCCACAACGTGGTGAGCTGAACTGCGCACATATTTGCCGTTTCTCCCCTCATTTCCTTTATTCCTAGAGAACATTCTTTTTCGCTTCACTTCGAAACTCGTATGGGATAAGTGAACAAATGTCTTCCATAAAAATTTTCGCGATAAGGCCCTGTTCAGAGATGCCCGCTCGCGCGAAAAAACGCAGAGGCGAAATAAAACGAAATCTCCGCCAAGATTTAGATCAAGCATCGATATTGATAAAATTGGGAAACGCGTAAGCGAAACGTCCGGAGCAGGCGAATTTCAGTCAAGAGTTTGATATGTATCGACTGTGAGAAACGCACGGGCGGAAAATCGCGTGAGCGAAGCGTTCGTAAGTCGATGCGTATGATACTCATTTTCGTCGATCCTCCCACTTCACGATTCGCCTGCGCGTCTTCGCTCAGTCGATACCTATACTCGATATCGGTGAGTTGGAGTGGGCGTGTCACCGGAAGTAAACTTGAACTTGACGGAAACTAGGTGGATGCGCTTTCCAACATCTTACAGTCGGTATCTCGAACTCTGATTGGGCGTGTCACCGGAAATGACGTGGCAGCCATCGCACTTGCTAGATGCCACGTGGATAAGATACTCCGCCAGATATCAGCGAAGCATGCTGGAAGCAGCTTATCCGCGCAATTTCTATCAAGTGCGGTGGCTGCCACGTCATTTCCGGTGACACGCCCAATCAGACTTCGAGATTTGGAGTGTACATCGCTGGCTATCAGCAAAACATGCTGGCAACAGCTTATCCACGCACTTCTATCAAGTGCACGTCACTTCCGGTGACACACCCACCCCAACTTTCGGATATCGACTGTATTTCATTTTATTTCGCCTCTTTTTTTTTTGTGTAAGCGGGCATCTCTGAAGAAGGCCTAAGGCTGGTGTCAGACTACGCGATCCGTCGCAGTTTCGCTGATTTTCGCGATTTGCGCGATTCGCGCGGTTTGTGCGATTTGCCACCGTTTCGCGAAAATCGCGCGAATCGCGGAAATCGCGAAACTTCTGCTTGATAGTGATGGCTGTATGAACGACTGCTCATGATCATTGTTTCATATTCAGTGTCAAGTTCATCGACACTTGCAAACTTTGCGATCCGTCGCGTTACGCGAAAATCGCGTGAATCGCGGAAATCGCGAAAATCGCGTGAATCGCAAATCGCGCAGATCGCGCGAATTGCGAATCGCGAAAATCAGCGAAACCTGCAACGGATCGCGGACTCTGACACCAGCCTAAAGGCAGGTAGTGTGGAGCGCAGATTCCCACGTGTTCTTTCGCCTTTTTACACTTGTTTTAGGGCGAGTAAGAATTATATCAGTACTTGATTAGTGTTTAGACACCTGCTGCTGGTTGAATTCGATCCAGATTTCACAAGCGAGACCGGCACAAAGCTCGTTGAGCACATAATAAGGTAGTACCGCTGCGGTTGCGCATGAATGCCAGCATGTTTTTCCGCTTCTCTTTCAGGTATAGCTCACCGTACCACGATCCAGCTGACTGGTATACTTTGACCTTCAAAAAGGATCAAGTTTTCAATGTGGTGCTTGGTCTTAACGTGCGTGACTTTGGCTAGAATGCAAATTTTCGCTTATAACATCTGTAGAGGTCAGTGAGCCTTGCGGTTTAATTTTTGACTCTCATTCCCCTCATTTCCACTCTAGAGATACATTGTGCCCCATATAACGTGCACGTCTATCTCAGCTTTTGAAACGAAAAACCGCACTCCATATCAAATATTATATACAAATATAGCGAATTTGAACAAAACCATGTCTTTGCTATGTAGTCCGCCGTAATGCGTGTATTTGTTTATCATTTTTTCCGGGAGATGATACTTACAGTAACTACCCAGTTCTTTAAACGAATTCTAGCAGAGATTCGGAAATTGGGCGGTTTGGAGCTTTGCGATTCACCCAACTCGCGGTCCTTCGTCAACATTCCTGTAGTCAAAATCCGTAAACAAATGCACCTTTTGTGGAAGAGGTGTCCCTCTCAGACTACGGCTGGGCTTGTTTTTATTATCTGCGCACTCGGAGTCTCTGCGGTCTCACCATTAACTGAAGGCTTAGACACTTCTTAATATCCCATTGCTGTTCAGGCATTCTCGAGGACTCCTTGTTGTTACGGCAGTTGCGGGAATCCCGATTTGATCTTGGTATTTTCGAAATGATGCACAGCTGTCCTGCTGGTGTCATGGAGTTGGTCGGTATGCTGAGATTTTTCGTTCCACTCTACTGATTTTATCTGTTTTCACGTGAACCAAATGATTTCGTTCCAGGCATTCCGAAAACAATGCTTGTCTCCGCTATTGGCATGGGATATCATCACTACCGCCTTCTTGGGATGGAAAAGCCGGCCAGTTTTGTACCTGGTATACCCATTTGCATTTTTCGGTAACATTTTCGTCGTGAGTTGGCCTTGGCTGCGAGCCTTTGCAAAATCTGAAATGGCAAGAGCTCTTTTGACGGTGCGCCATTAGCATCATTACCTTGTGTTCTTGACAGCCACCTTCACAATCTACGGAAGTCGAATGACGTTTATTGGGCGATTGCACAATATAGCCTTCAACGCTCTTGGTAAGTTTTTTCTGTGGTTCATGAACAGTTATATACATATTTATGTAGTCGTTTAGAGTAAGTTTTTTTTGGAGTCATAGAGTAATGACTTTTGATAGCTTTCTTGTATGATACCTGATATAAATATTCCTTCTATACTAAATATATATTTATTTCATGAGAAGACTCATACAAGGGCTCAGTGTGGCCCACAAAGAAACAAACATGAAAAAACCCTGCATAAGCGGCGACAAGGCCAAGATACTAGTTTAAAATAGAAGCATAATACATATACTATGCTAGTTTGCCGAAGATTCTCTTCATTATTCCTTCTTTGAATTTATTTAGATTTTCAGAAGCAACCATAGCTTGATCCTTGCATTTTGAGGCTGGATGTTTGCCAATATTTGCGAATACTCCGAGCAGAGCTTGTTCGATTCTATGTTTCCGGGATTTCCTCGTCTCCACAACCTGATCCAGGTATCTCGTCGCCATTGTTTTCGCCCTTCAGAGCAGCAGCTGCAAATTTTCCTTGATGGTTCATCGCAGCTTAAGGAAGACACTAAAGTTTTTTTCACTCAAGAACTGACTAGATATAGTCGTACGGAAACCGTTTCCTGGAGGAAGTTGTCGTGGTTTTTCGGTTGGAAAAGTAGGAAAATGAGTGAATTTCGTGCTAGGGATGGATCAGAAGTGATTCGAAACAAGGCCGGTGCTTGTCGCTTTGTGGTGTCATGTCTATTTAAGGATAAAACCGACTACTTCCTGATGAATACTAATGAGTTCACCGAATCGACCCGTCCCACTCTGCTATCTATTGGTCACGTAGGGGGGTCTTCCATTTCGACTCCTCGCCCCCTTAGTGATGTAAGTTTTGCAAGGCCTATCAATTTGTGCGCTTGGCTTTTACTTCGTTGGTTTTGATTAGAAAATCGGATTTTCAGGAATTCGAACGAATTGTTTCCAAAGGCAGTAGAGGAGCCATTCTTTTTTCCCTGGGCTCATTGGTGAAGTTTAGTGATATGCCCGTGACTGTTCGCAGAGGTATCTGAGAGTTCTTTTCGTGGCACTCACTCAACCTCGTTTACTTTGTCTCATATTTTAAGCGTTTACCGAAGCATTTCAATTATTCCCGGAGTATGTGATTTTGTGGAAGAGTGACGCAGTAACAAACTCCACATATTCGAACATTTACTACCATGATTGGATTCCACAAGTGGATC